CATACTCAACTTCATTATTGGACACTTTGAACAGGTACCGGTAAGCGTAGTACGCTCGAAACCCTTCAGGCGAGATCAAGACGATCCCGCCCCCGCAACCTTTCGTCCCGGACGATCCATCGGTCGCTAGGGTCCACCACTGTTCTTCACTATCTCTTTGTCTTTCCGTAACTTCCCTCGCCGTGCATTCCACAATGAAATCCGCAAGTGCCTGCCCTTTGATGGATGATCGGGGCTGAAATTCGACCTCGTACTGACTGAGAAGCATCGACCACTTCACGACCCGCGTCGTTCCCGGGGTTCTCAATGCTGCGCCCAGGGGTTGATCCGACAGGATTCTGATCGGGTGTGCTTGAAAGTAATGGGTCAACTTCTTCGCCGTGATGTAAGCGGCATAGATGGTCTTCTCGAGCGGGGTGTACCGCAGCTCCGTATACGGGGTTCTGAATCCCGCCTTCCTCACGGACCAGCACGGAGCTGATCGCGCCCTGCGACACTCCCAAATACAATACCAGTGTTTCTCCTTTCCTCGGCTTGCTCAACAACGGTTCAGAGAGAAGATACTTCTTTAGGTCCTCGAATGCCCGCTGGCAATCATCCGTCCACGCAAATCCACTTTGTTTCTTGAGAACCCGGAAAAAAGGTAGGGACTTCTCCGCAGATTTTGACATGAAACGCCCAAGTGATGCCAGCCGCCCAGTGAGAACCTGCACTTCCTTCACCGACCTCGGAGGTTTCATGTCAAGGATTGCTCTCACCTTTTCGGGGTTCGGCTCTATCCCTCTCCGGGTGACCATGTACCCCAAAAATTTTCCGCCCTGGACAGCAAACATGCACTTTTTTGGGTTCAGGCGCAGCCGGACCGCCCTCATGATCCCGAAAATTTCGGCTAAGTCGTCGGCATGGTCTGTCGCTCGTACGCTCTTGACGATCATATCGTCTACATACGCTTCCATGTTCCTTCCTAGCACTGTTCAAAACACTTTTGCAACCATTCTCGTGTACGTCGCCCCGGAGTTCTTCAAGCCGAAAGCCATGACTAGATAGCAAAAGATCCCCTCCGGTGTGATGAAGGAGGTTTTCTCCGCATCATCTTCATGCATGGATATCTGATGATACCCCCGGAATGCGTCCATGAAGCTGAGGAGTTCGCACCCGGCTGTCCCGTCAACTAGCTGGTCTATGTTAGGTAAAGGGAAGGGGTCCATCGGGCATGCTCTGTTAAGGTCTGTGTAATCGACGCACATTCTCCAAGTCGGGGGCTTCGGTGCCAGGACCACGTTTGCCAACCATTCTGGGTATAATACTTCCTTGATGTGTTTAATAGCCAAGAGCATAGCCACCTCCTTCTTCACGAAATCCCTTCGTTCCACCGAGAGGTGTCTTCTCTTCTGCTGGATCGGCTTCACCGTCGGGTCGACCGCTAGCCTGTGAACGGCCACACTTCGGTCCAACCCCGGCATATCCTCAGGGCCCCATGCGAAGATCACACTGAATGTGACCAACACTTGGATGATCTTCTCTCTCATCCCGGCTGGGAGCCCCAACCCGATTTTGATCTTTCGCTCCGGGTGCCCGGGATCGATATGAACTTCTTCAACCTCGGAGGTGGGTTCAGCGCGGAGCTGGCCATCCTCATACTTCATGGCTTTGCTGTTGATAGTGTGGACCCTGAGGTCCTTTTGTCCGAGTTGTTTGCACGCCTTCATGTAACAACTCCGGGCCATCCTTTGATCTCCCCGAGCTATCCCGACCCCGTTCGGGGTGGGGAACTTCATACATAAATGCTCCTGAGAGATAATGCATCTCAAGTCCTCCAACGCGGGTCTTCCCATGATGATTTTGTGCGGACAGGTTAAACGTACGACAATGAACTCCAGGTTCAACTTTGCTACACAGGGTTCTGAACCCACCATCACAGGCAACACCACACTGCCTTCCGATTCGATTGAGTCCCCGGTAAATCCGGATAAAGGTGTTCTTACCGGACTCAGATCCGCCCCGCTCAGACCAAGGCCTTGGAATGTGTCGTAATACATTACGTTCACCGAGCTTCCATTGTCTACTAGAACTCGATGAATGATTGTATTGTTGATCTCCACCTTAATCATTAAGGCGTCCCTATGCGGTGGTGGCATGGGTGGTAGGTCATCATCAGTGAAGTAGATCGGATCTCTTCTCATCTTCTTTCCTGCAGGTACCCGGGTAATTTCCCCGACGTACAAGGATCGAGCCCATCGTTTCCTTTCGCCTGACGTGTCCCCTCCTTGGGGGCCGCCCACGATGTAGGAGCATCTGTGATGCTTCCGGGCTCCCTCCCCTAGGTCGCACTCGTCATCCTCGGACAGAGCCCCGAGCTCGCGCTTCTTTGGAGGTTGGTCAAGGGGCTGTTTCTCCTTGGACGTGGTGGCTTGATCGGAACGCCTCCATGTCAGGTTCCTCCCTTTCTGGGCATTTCCCGGTTTTCCTACAAATTGGCCCAAATATCCTTGTTTGATAAGTGCCTCAATTTGTCTGCGGAGAACGATGCATTCGTCCGTATCATGCCCGAAATGTCGGTGAAACCTGCAGTACTGGTCGGTGTTGCGTTTGGCAGTGACCACGTCACATTCCTCTGGGAAGGAAACCAAACCCTGCTCCTCGGCATAGTCGAGGACCGTCCCGACCGGTTGAGCCAAAGGTGTCAGAAGTTTGGTAGGTAGGAGCGGACCGTTCGGGACGTCCGTCCTTCCCTTGTTCTTATTCTTCTTACCTTTGAACCGGCCGCCCTTTCCGCCAGATTTCCTATCGGCATCTTCATCATCTGGGTCACCACGTCTTCCCTTGTCCTTCGTATCTTCTTTCTTTCCATCCTCTTCATCTCTTTTCCTCTGTTCAGCGTCCTCTGCCTCAGCCTGACGGTCAGCCCGCCTCAGGGCTTCCTCGTATAAAGCGGGTGGATTCCTAACAAAATCCTTGTAAAGTTCTCCTGATCGGATAGAATTTGTCAGCACTGCCACTCCGGTCCTGTCGTCAAGGCCCTGAACCTTGACCGACTCGACCCTCCATCTTGCCAGGAAAGTGGACAGGGCCTCTTTCTTTCCTTGCTTCAGGCTAATCAGGTGGCTGAAATTCTTCTTCACATCTCGTGAGCCGGCGAACCTCAAGAGGAAGTGCCTAGCCAACTCCCTGAAGTTCCCGATGCTCCCATCGGGCAGTGTGTCATACCATTCACGAGCCGGGCCATCTAGAGTAGCCGCGAATCCTCTGCATCGTATGGCATCTTCGTACCCCATCATGACCATATATGACAGGTAACGTGATATGTGGTGTTGCGGGTCTGAAGTGCCCTTGTAAGTATCCACATTGCAAGGTTTGTAGCCCCTTGGCAACGGAGCCTCCATTATGGCACGAGTGAAGGGCTCCGGGATATGGAGGTCGGCCACGTATGACTCTCCCCCAACAACCCTCCTCCTTAGCTCGTCCAACCTTAGTCTGAGATCCTCCACAGCTTCCGGCGCCGGTTCCTCTGGCACGCGTCCAGCACGGGGCTGGACCCGCACATAGGATTCTGCGACTCTTTCACGCGCGTGAGGCCGACGGCCACCACGGGGGCCTTCTATGGAACCGATTCGACCGCTCAGACGACGGGGGTGATGAGAGAAGTCATCCCCGCCCTCCAGTGACGAGTCTCGGTGGGGCCCTCCTCTTTCGGGTCGTCGAGGCTGCTCGACCCGTCGGGACATATGCTCCCTCCGGGGCAAGGATTCCCTTCGTGATTCGTCCAAACTAGTATGTCGCCCTTCATATCTCCCAGAGGAAGTCTCGATGTCTTCAGGGGCGGCGTGCCTCGGAGTTTCATGATTAGCTCTCTGCGGCATCATCCCCAGGAAATTCTGAGCCAAAGCCCCAATGGCACGCGTGGCCTCCTGTAGCGCCCGCACTCCAGCGTCAAGTCGGTTCGTGCGCGGAGCCCGACGACGGCGACCTCCAATCCGATCACGAAGGGATTGTCTGTCATGACTACGGCTTAGCGAGCCCCTCAGGTCCCCTGAGCCCGACAAATGGCTCCGGAGATCTCCTATCGGTCTCACCACCTGGCTTCTCACACGATGGCCATTGGGTTGTTCTGAATGCTCGGTGTGAACGGAAACTCGCTCTTGCCTTGATGATCCTGCCATTTTCCTCCTCAAAGATTCTACCGAAAACTGAGAGAACAACTCAGCTCTCAATGAAAGCACCAATGTTGGTAGAAAATGTGTTGAGTAGAAAATTCGGCAGCAATTCAGTACAGTAAAAGTGACTTATCCAATACAAAAAGAGGGGCGGCCTATTTATAGGCGCTTACAAGAGGTTTCTTGAATACTAATGGGCTTGGCCCAATTAAACAACTAAAACAAGAAGCCTGATCCCAGGCCAATGGGCTGGTCGGGCCCAGAGTTAAACTAATCAATCCAAGGACCATATTATCTAGTCGGACCGTGTGCTGGGCCTGGTTCGCGCCCGAACCCAGGCATATTGGGTCGATAGTATTGGACCTGGCCCATTATCCCAACAATTATATATATATATATATATATATATATATATATATATACTACCTTCGTCCCTTAAAGTTTATCCTAGTTTTACTTTTTGAGTCAAACTAATTAAACTTTGGTCGCTAATTACTCAAAATTAATAATATTTTATCCCTAAAAAATTAATTTATATGATTCTTTGTAATATGTATTATTCAAATGTTAATTTATTATAGATTTTATAGGTATATATTAATATATAATTACGATGAAACGTCTACCTAGTTTGACTCAAAAAGTCAAATTAGGACAAACTTTAAGGGCCGAAGGGAGTATATATTAATTTATACCCCCTCCGGTCCTTAATTAACTTTACACTTTCCTTATTGGGTCGTCCCATATTAAACTTTACACTTCCTTATTTGCCTTATTTGGCAAATAAATCTACACCAAATAGTGCAAAATAGTGCAAAACAGTGCAAAACAGTGTCAAACAGTGTATTCTACAGTAAAGTCAAATTTATTTCCTTAATATGTGTGAAGTCAACGTGTAAACTTCATTAGGGACCTTTATTGCCTTACTAACCTACAAACTCCATAATATGCATCGCTTTGAACTTCAATATGCAGTAAAAATAATGTAAAGATGCAGGGGTAGGATCACATACAAACTAGTCATCTCATTCAAATCATCTTTGCATTATTTGTATTGCACATTGAAGTTCAAAGTGTTTCGTATTATTCAAGCCATAAAATAGCAATTTCATGTTTACATTATTTGTATTGCATATTGAAATTCAAAGAGTGCATCTTTACATTATTTGTACTGTATATTAAAGTTCAAAGTGTTGCATATTATTGAGTTTGTAGGTTAGTAAGTTAAGCATGGTTTGTATGTGATCTCACCCCTATAAATATATATATATATATCAAATATATATTGTGTGCTGGTTTTATAATTTAATATCAATATTAATTTCGTTTCTGACTCAACTGTTTAACGAGCTGACTCGAACTTTGACCGAGCGGCTCACGAACGGCTCAGCTGATTTGCACCCCTATTCTTTCCTTAATCATCACCGGGAAACCACCCTTCATCTTTGACATTAGATAGGCTACGTAGACGGGTTCCTTGCCCTCCTCCGCCACCGGTATTACCCTGAATTGCCTCAAAATGCCGGCCACCACCCTCTTCATCTGTAAGAAAGCCATCTCTTTACCCAGACAAATCCTCGGCCCTGCGTGGAACACCGGATATATGTACTGGTCTTTCCCCACGAAGCTCAAATTCCCGTCTCCTTCCCTGTTTAGCCACCGTTCAGGGCGGAACTCCGCCCAATCCTGCCCCCACAGCTCCTCCGCCCTCCCCATCGCATACGTGTGATAACTTACCCTCCACCCCTTCTTCACCGCCGTCCCGTCTGGCAAAACGTCATCCTCGCCGGCCGTTTTTGAGTCCACCGGAACCGGCGGGTAAAGCCTCATCGCCTCACAAAGGGCGGCGTGTGTGTAAACCATGTCCTTTACCCCACCGTACACCGCCGCCTCGGATTGCGATTTCACCTCTTCCAATATCTTATCTTCAACTTCCGGACGCCGGGAAATTGACCAGAAAAACCAAGTCAAAGCGGCGGACGTCGTGTCCCGGCCGGCGAGTATGAAGCTGATGACGATATCCGTCACGAAGTTCTCCTCCGAGTGGCCGGAGCTCAAGAATCTTGACAGAAGGTCAACGGAATCCAGCGTTGACTTCTCCTCCAGTTCTTTCTTTTTCTCTCTGACGATTTTCTTGGCGAAATCTCGCACCTCGTCCACCGCAATCCGGAGCTTCCGTTCGGATCCAATGTTGAAACGGCGTTTCAATTTCCAGACAAGAGGGCTAATTTCGTCATATCTCTGACTGCTGATCTTCAGAGCTTCCTCGAAAGCGACCGCCAATGTCGCTGCCGGTAGGGACGGCGAGAGATACCCGGGATCATACCCGAAAGAGATCTTGCAGATATTATCAAAAGCGAATCTTTGAAGAATGTCCTGAAAATCAAGAAGCGTTTTTTCCCGCGAGGCAGAGGACAGAATGGGAATTAACCGGCCGGAGAGCTCTGTGTCAACGACGGTGGAGATGAAGTTGCGCAGAGACTTCGTGTTGAACTCATGGATGGCGACCTCTCTCTGAAACTTCCACTTCTCTCCGTCGACGTTGAAGATTCCGTCGCCAAGAAAATCAGCTAAAGTGGTTCTTGCGAAATCGCCTTTTGAGTAAACAGAGAAGCGCGCTTTGAGGATGTGCTCTACATTCAAAGGGTTAGCAGTGTAAACCTTGGAAATTCCAGGGCGGTGTAAGGTGAAGATCAGATTGGGGGAGCTATTGATGGCATCGGAAAGCCATTGAAACCGGCGGTCTCTGTTTTTCAAAAGTGAGAAATAAGAACCTACCAGAGGATACGATCTGGGGATTTTATCACTGGGTTTTGATGATAATATGTTAGAGAAGAGGAAGAAAACGAGCAAGGAAAGAAAACAGAACATTAATGTTGAGAGAAACGAGAGATCATTAACATTGATTATTATTCCCATCATTAAGTATCTAAGTATCTTGTGTGTTGAAGAACAAGCGTGAGCAACCTATGCAAGTGTTTTATACTATTCAGTATTCATACATAAGGTAGGCTATATCGGGAGCTTTTTAGCATTTAGGAATTAGGAGGCTCCTTACAAAAAAGTTCTTAATCGTATTGAAAATGAGATAATTTGAATAAAACGCTATATGAAAAAATATACCGAGTATATTCAAAGTGAAAAATTATACTACCTCCGTCCCAATGAATTTTGCATTTCTTGAATTAGATGTGAAATAAAAATAGTAATAATTATGTGATTGAAGTTTGTGTAGAGGTGATAGAAATGAATAGAACCACAAAATAATTACTTTAATAAAAAAGTTACAAAGTTTTTTGTGACAATAAAAAAGAGAAAGTTAGCAAAGTCAAATGGGCCGGAACTTTGAAAAGTTTTCTCCCTAAAATAACTACTACCTTTGTTCCACTATGATTGTCCCATTTTACCTTATCGGTCCGTCCCACTAAGATTGTCTGATATCAAATTTGGTAAAGTTTGTGCGGCTCTAAATCATTCTTACTTTATTCTTACTTTATCAATTCAATATCAACCACATAAACCACTTTTTATTGATTTGCGTGTCACTCCCTCTTGTTCCATTGTTAGCGAGACGGAGGGAGTACTTTACTAATATCAATACCATCAAATTAATTATTTCATTCATTTATCAATTACCATCTAATGAACACAATATGTCAATATAGCAATTATCATCGATATAGCAATATTAACCCTACAAATTCTTCCAAATGGTAATTTAGGAATTGAGATAATTACCCTACATATTACTAAAACTCCACCACTTTCCCAATCTATGACCTAATGAGTTTTTTTCTCAAAATATAATTAAAATTCGTAATAATTAATTAATATATTAATAAATAATTAAATAAATTATTTTTTATGACTAATATGTCCTTACTCTATTATTATAAAAGCCTAATATCCTATTTCTTTTAACCCAAAACCTTGGAGCAATGTCCCCTGCGTACAGATGCCCACCCATGCCGCCGCCCGACGTACAGCAACACCACTGCCGCCGCACGTTGTACAGCCACGCTGCCGCCATACGCCGTACAGCCACGCCGCCGCCAATCTCGTTTCTGAGCCACCCGGAGTTCTAGTGTCGTCTCCTCCGATGTGCCGATGAGGAGTTTGAGTTCGACCATGACATGGGCATCACTATACCGTGTGAAGATGTTGTTTTCCGCTCATTAACTTACATGCTCAGATAGACTAAATGGTGGCGACGGCGGCATTCTTTTAACCTGCAGCGGCGGCCATTCTGGATTCTGTACGGCGAGTGGATTCTTTTGGTAGAGTGGTAGAGCTCATTTCGGGCCATGTAGGCTTTAATCGACCCTGATTTTTTTTAAAATGTGTTAGATTTGTTGTCACTTACAAATATGTTGTGATTATAGGCGTTTCCTTTGTAAGTGTGTGTTTGCGAATTTGTGATACGCCCTTTAATTTGGAGAACAATCTTGATTAAGTGCAGGCTTCCATTCTCATTCTTCATAAGTTTTTTATTTTTTGAGATTAGGGTTTATTGAATTTAGGGTTTGTGGGCATTCAACATGGGCATTGTACATTGGGGTGAACATGACATTAAGTATTGAGTATGGTCGGTGTATATGGCGATAAATAATATTATACATGGCAGTTAATGAATGCGATGAGAATGTTTGTTGTGCAGTGATTATGATCAGTAAGTTAGTAACATAGAACAGTAATGTCGTCGTGAAACACAATATACTTAATTAGACGTAAAATAATAAAATTATTACATCTGAAAAATAAAAAATAAAAACTATAAATAAATTTGTAAAGTGAATGAGAAGAGAAGTAATTTTGGAGGAAGTGCATTGATTATTATCGGACGGGCAGTAATGTCGTGCAGTAATGTCGTGCAGTAACGACACTATAAAGTGCAGTAATTTTAATTGGACAAAATTAGTGCAAAATCCACATATTTTAAATAAGATTATTTTTAACATTCAATATTTAATTATAAACGAGATATATTTTTTTTCTTGGATTTTTTGTCATACAAAAGTCCAAAAACTAGTTAGATCACAGATTGAGAAACTCATTAAGTTTTAATGGTATCCTAGAAAATTTCCCTTAGGAATTCAATTCAATTGACCTCAATATTTAATTAAGAATTTTAAAGGCATAAATTGCCTTTGAGTGCTTGTCTGCCGCTTTATGGGTTTAGGCGGTTAGCTTTTTATCAATTTATCTTTAGGGACTCCATTTTAGACTCATTCGTCGGCGGGCGGTTAAGCGTTTGAAGTTCGGATGGTGGGCGGCGGGGCGACTAGGCGGTGGCTCACGGAGTCGCGGTTGACGGTCGGATGACTGGATCAGAATCCTTTTGTTGCTTGCCTGCTTCTGCTTCGGACTTGCCGACGGAGAGTCGGTGACTTGGGAGTTGGGATTCGCGGCCTACTCTTGGCGTATTTAGGATTTGGGAAAGGCAAGCACGCAGCTCGTCCAGTTCGGCGGAAGCGTGGAGTCCCCAGTCCAGAATTAATTTCTCCCAATTATACATATACCGAGCGAGTACTCCGTCCTTTCAATAAAATTCTTGTCACTTTCTTTTATGGATTGTCCTAAAAAATTGTTTTCACTTACCATTTTTGGACAATTTGTGTGGTTCACATTCATTTCACTTTTTTCTTACACAAACACAACCATACATTTCCACTTTATTCCATTTTCTTAATCTCCATGCTAAGTCAAATTGAGAAGAATTTTATGGAACGAAGGTAGTATTATTTCATACTGATAAAAAATAAATTGGGGCATTGATAATATGATCCAAACCAATTCGGATTCTGGAGGATTTTAATGGAGTTTAGAATTCCGTCAGAATTCAGATGTCCTTGATTTGAATTTCTGTGGAATCCATGAAAATAAGGGTGCCCTCAAACATTCCGTGGATTTCTGTTGTTACTTATTTGCACGGATTTTAATGGATTTCGATGAATTTCTATATACAAAAACAATCAATCACAATCTTGTAGACTCCCCTCGAATTTCAAAAACCACCGTCTTTTGAAATCCATCAAAGTCATAATTGGGGACATGATAGTTTGTAATTTCCATATGTATGTTTGTGTTTTTAATTAGTTTTGATTGATTTTTACTTTGGAAATTACACACTTTTGGTGTAATAGTTTAGTTTTTTAAATACTTGTAAATTGTTTAGATTAGGTTTATTCTGAGCTCAAACAGGTCTTGATCACTCAAAGGACAGTTGGTGAACTCCAAAAATGGAAGGAAGGTGCAAAATCACAAGACAAAAGGAAGATCCTGATTTTTTGGTCTATACCCGATCGGGTATGACCTATACTCGATCAAGTATCTTGTTGAAATTTCAAATCGAATCGGATCCGAAGACCAAGGAACATGCAGGGAAGATTTTGACCACGATCGAGTGTCTATACCCGATCGGGTACACCGACACACCCGATCGGGTATCCCTTCTGAACTAAGCCTGAAGTCGATCGAGTATGCCTCAGATCTGAAGTTCTACACACACTCGATCGGGTACAAGTCTACACCCGATCGGGTATGCTTATAGAATTTACCCCACAATCGATCGAGTATATCTCGAATATGAGGTATTACACATACCCGGTCAGGTACCGTGTATATACCCGATCGGGTACCCGAGCTGCATCCCCTAAAGCCTATAAATAAACCTCATTCCCTTCACAATTAGATCACCAATTCAGTTATACTTCTAAGCTCAGTCTAGAATAGTTCTTTCTTTATATTTTCTTCATGTTTAGTCTCCAAATGAGGAGCTAAAATCTTCCATCTTGGTTTTGCTACTTTGAAGCTTAATGAATTTGTAAGTTGTGAGTTATTTTCTTTAATCTTCTTCCTTGAATATTAATTCTTCATTTAAATACTAGTTATTAGTTAACATCTTGACATTAGTTATAGTAATAGTTATTTCTTCCTCTATGTTAATATTGGGGAGTGTTACTAAGATGACAATTAGTTAACATCTTGATATTAACTATAGTAAGATTCATCTGCTTTAATATTCTTCCTTGAGTATTAATTAATTCCTATCTGTATTTCATATTAAGATTTTGAACATTACTTAGAGAATCAACTAGTTTTGTTCCGTATATTAATCATTACTAGAATCAATCGATTAATACGCTTGTTATTCATCCGGTTCATTCACGGTAGTAAACTTGGATTATTAATGCATGCGTCTCATGGTTAATAATCTAAGGGGAATTAATTATGTTGATCAAACCAATAAACCGCTTGTGTTGAGGTTATCAATCTCAATCGTTTTCATCTTGATTTTATTGCTACCGTCGAGTTGATATACGGCGCGTGTTCTATATTAACTCGGTAGTAAGTTTTATTAATGAACGCGTCTCGTTATTAATAACTACCCTCGATGAACTGGATATACTCCTCGATTGAGTATTCGAGAGGAAGATAGTTAAAGATATAACCGGAATCGACGAACATTTTATTAAGTGGATAAAAGCAAAACCAAGTCTTCATCTCTATTAAAGTAAATCACATAAGTCGTTCAACTTAGTGTTTAAATTTACTTCAAGTTCAACAACAATCAAAACCCCCCATTTGTTATTTCTATTTAATTAAAAGAAAAGTATTCCTTTCCCTGTGGATACGAACCTTACTTCGCTATACTACTTATAAGTGTTGTATTGTAATTATTACTTTGAGTGCATCTCACGACAAAGTGCACGTCAGGACACCCCTCCAAAAGTGAAATCACGAAATGTTCTAATGACTCTAGTAAATGGTAAATATAACCCAAACCAAAAGTGAAATCCCACATGTTCATTTAAAAGTTCGCGGTCTAGAAGATTAAGAGCTTCTCCAACATACCACCAAATCACACACCAAAATGGTGTATTTACCAAAAACTTGCTCCAATAGCTACATCATTCTTCACACCATCTCACCAAAATGGGGGAGGGAGTTTGGGTTTACGCCATATATGGCGCACACCATCCCCTACACCATTTTTTTTAATTTTTTTTATTTCAAATGTGATCCAAACTTTTGGTTGTTATACT